ATAAAATCGGGGTTTCACTGTACTACAATTTAAAATGGAAGTTATTTCCAAGAGTTTTCGATAGGTGGCACGTCCAAGAATTTGATAAAGATCTCTCAATAATTTATGTTTATTGCAATCCGTGTATGGACTTTTAAGTATAATGGCTTGACGATAATAAAGATATAAAATAACAAATGGTCATGATGATCAAGTGTCGGCGATAAAACAGGAAGTGTGTTAAGGATAAATATGTTGAATTGTTTTTATGTCTTACCACATTACACATATTCAGAAGAAATACCGCATGTAATTTACGAATACTGCCGTCTACAAGATTTATACAACCAACAAAAAGCACTATTATTAACCGTACTGTGCATATCTAGTATAGTAAGATATGTTGTTGAGGAATAAAAACAACTGAAAAAAGAAACGTTTCACATAAATCAAATTTTCTATTTTTATCCAGATTTGATCAAGTATTTTGCCAGGATTAGAACCAGACTGAAATTACTGGAACGCGTGTAACACAGAGAATGTAACCCAATGAAACCGTTAACAAAATAATTATTTACTCAGGCCAAGAACTGGAATAGACGACACTATAAACTATCATGTCGTTTTTTTTCTCATAACATTTAAAGAATTATTATGTTTAAGACTTTGAACGGTAGATGGCGAATCTGATATGCAGCCCAATTATGAAAAATCAAATCTTACTTATATCCTGGAACGTTCTGTGGCAGAGTTTTTGTCTTGAAGTAGTTGAAAACAAACTGAACTTGATCTCCTTGAAGTCCACGGAAGTAGTACTGACAGTGAGTGTTGGAAGGATAATTTGCCGGGTATCTTGGAGAATTGAATTCTCCCGATTTTCTGCTCTCGCTCCTGTAGGTGAAGTGACATGTATCGTCAGGCGCTGGTGTTCCAGGAATTTTGTATTCTGTGTTGATAAAATAATCACATTGGCGAATTTACTTTCGGTACAGAAGACGTAAGCTAGTCCTTTAAAATTCGAAGTTTTCAAATAAAATCGTCTGATAACGACTAGATAAAATGCTCTTTAAAAATTAATTTTATAATTTTGATCGTTTGAGCATGATTTAAAAGAAAAGTTTCTATAAATGTTGGACTTGGACAAAAAACCTCAAGCGACTATTTGATGAAGCTGATCTTAAATATAACTTTAATAAACTTGAAAAAGAAACAAAACTGAAAAAGATGAACGAATAAAGAAAAATAAGTATATGAGAGACTTCAGTGGTGATGATTTTCTCATTGCAACTATGTATTACGAAATCGATAAAATAGTTTGTTTGTAATTAAGCACAAAGCTACACAATGGGCTATCTGTGCTCTGCCCACCACGGGTATCTAAACCCGGATTCTAGCGTTGTAAGTCCGCAGACATACCGCTGTGCCACTGGGGGGGCCGATAAAATAGTGTTTACTCCGGAAAGCTCCCAGTGGCACAGCGGTATGTCTGCGGACTTACAACGCTAGAATCCGGGTTTCGATACCCGTGGTGGGGCAGAGCATAGATAGCCCTTTGCGTAGCTTTGTGCTTAATAACAAATAAAAATACTCTGGAAAAGCATTGTAATCAAAAACTTGAAATCAATCTTATAATTGGTTTTCGAAATATTATAATTCTGGATGAAATTTCATATCCATAGTTACCTTTTCTAACAAAGAGAGAATGAAACAGTGATGATTTTAAATTGTTTTGTACATGTGCGGCTATGATATGGCGGTGGTAAAATCCCATTTTGTTCAACACACACACACAGAATACTGAGCTTTTGGGTTATACCGCAATTTGCAACCAATTCGTAATTACTTAACCTCACACAGTTAACCATTTTCCAAGTATAGATGTAATTCTAGGAATAAGTTGAATTCGTTTATCCCCCACTAGTGGTAATTATAAATCTTATGAGGCAGAAATAAAACTATCAGTAATTTTCCAGAAGAATTAAAACCGGCTGTAATTTTCCATACATTTAAATATTCGTTCGAAGAACCACACCAATTCCTAGACATTGTACAAAACCATTTATCCACTTACCCGTTTCAAATGTGTATTTAGCCTTAAATCCTAGACCCTGGGAAGGTCCACTGCTGAATACAATAAATAACCGTGGTCCGTTTGACACCAAAGGGATCGGAAGTTCCTGTCCACAAAACACATGGTCATACTCGTCGAAAGCCTGCTTAGTTTCTTGTCCGTTAAGATAAATCTTGAGATAGGCTTCCTCGCAACTGAAAAGGAAAAAAAAAGTTTTCTCGGGTGTATCTCAATTTGTTGATGCTACGACGAGTTTGTAGTTCTCTACAATAGTTGTTTGATTATAAAGTTGTCACATTCACTTCTTTGGTGGACTCTCCAGCCTATTTAACTCACAGCTCATCTATCACGAACATAAATGTTATATTACCATAATGTTTAAACCCTACAAGCTTGCCCTTTTTAAATAACATCATCTTTAAAAAAAAAACCAATAAAAAAGCGTAATTTTCACACCATTATAATCATTCAATCGATTTTCTATTGGCTTTTATTTTCTTCTTTTAGGTTCGCTCCCGAACTATTTGTTATTCATGTCACGTGATCTAACTTCATTTCTATTTGTTATGTTTTCCTTAGACGTAGAATGTCATTAACATTGGCAAATTTCT